AGTCTTTTAGTATTCAGTAAGCCTTCATGGAGTACTAGCTTCAGTGCATCTTCTTCACTGTCCTTCAGATATTCTTCCAATGCCCTTTTTTCTTCTTCAACCATCTGGTGTATTTGCAATATTCCACACCCACCTATGCTCCTTGGTAAGTAGACTCTGCCAATGTTGCTGCATGGATGAAGGGCATGATTCACTGTCATTATTTTTCTCGTCTTCCTATCCAGGGCTTCTAGTTCTGCTTGAGTCCAGTCCACTATTCCAGCTGTGTATATAATGACTGGAATTGCCCAGGTGTTTATTGCCTTGATGGCATTTCTTCCACTGAGTTTGGACTTTAAGATCTTCTTCACTCTCATGAAGTATTTACTACTAACCTTCTTCTTGACTTCAATGTGCTTGATGTTCTCAGCTTGAAGGATGCCCAGGTATTTATTTGTTGATGATGATGATGGTGATGATGATGGTAATGATGATGTGAAGCCACAGCCCAGTCCAATATAGTATGGAATATCTTTTCCTGATAACCTGGAAAAATGGTTTAGACTTTACCAAGAAACTGTACATTTTCCTCAGTCCTAAAACCTTTTCTTCCCTATGGTGTGAAGAGGAGCGGTGTGGCCTTTAAGTTATACCACTGAGACTTGAGTAGTGATGCTTTCCAAACAGAACTGGATTCACGGACTTGGACTTAATTCCTTTGTGAAAAGGCTTTGGGTTTCTTGTTTGATCTTGTGCCCAAGAGGGGAGAGTGTTGCGTTATTTCCAACTCACCCTTGGCCAAGCATATTCCCTGGTAATATAATTTACAGGACTGCAGCCTTAGCCCACTTTTAGCGAGAGAAACCACAAAGGAGTAGTTTGTATTATTCAATGGCTACATCTATTTTCTGTATTTTCTTCCTCACCTACTATTAGTGGAATGATAACAGAGCCCTGGGCTTGTTCAAGATAAGGAAAGCTGTCAGTCTCAGCTATACAGGTCATTCTTTTAATAGACACCTGGCAGCATAATACTTGGGCAAAGTAGTGTTTCCTACTTCTTATTAGAGTGGAACCACTGTACCTGCCAAATCTCTTATTAAAAAGAAAGTAGCAGTAGTTCTATTTGGTGTGTCCTCTTAACAGCCTCTTTTAGTTTAGAGGTCTGGCCACAGTTCAGGGATATAATGCATCCCTAGAACATGACAGATCACCCTGCTTTCTGATCTCCTAGACCCTCATCAAACTCCACAAAAGGGACAGCAAAAGTCCATAGCTGATCATTTCTAATTGTTGAGTGGCAACCCTACTTTTAACCTGCCCATTTTGGAACATATACAAAGTGAACAGCATAGAAGAAACAGAAAACACTGGAGTGGTGCAATTTCTGTTCACAGGCTTTATGTAACTCAGTTGGCAAGGGACTCTCCTTAAGGCGGGGATGGAGTGCATTAAATACAATCACCATCATTTTCTAGAAAATATCATCTCCCCTGTTGAGAGCTCAATAGGAACTGTGGGCTTTTCTGTACAATATATCAAGAAATGGGACTGTCACCAAATAACTACCCCAATATCATACGATGTTATACTGCAGACACTTCTTTTCCTCTGTTCTTCCTCAAATTTCTAAATCAGCATTAATTCAGTTCATTAATTCTATTATCCAATCATGAAGACATTCTAACCCATACCACTGGAAAAAACTATGTTGTGATAAAAAATTTGGTTCACTTACTAAGTATCTCCAGTTTGATTCTGGGATTCACTTTGGTCCAGACATTTCATGTGTAAGTCATATGAACACTTCCAAAATGAATGTGTATTGATATGTATTTTTTTTTCCTAAGAAAAACTAGACAAATCTTCTTGGTATTACAGACTGCTAATCTTTAAAACAAAATTCCAATCCTGAGTTATCTGCTTAACAATCATGAATCTCTTATGTATTGGTGCTCCTTGGGATCGAATGACCCTCCCACAGTCCTTGTCCAATATATGATGCAAAGCTCTATACTGTAGATCAAGAAGCAGGACGCATGCTTTCAGTAACTAAGACTGCAACTCTGAAAATGCTTTAGGAAGACATCAGAAACTCAATGTATTTTTTCAGAATAAACATATGGATCCTAAGGACTGGCTAGCACATTGCTAACTTTACTGACAATAGATCAAGGACCAAAATAAAACAAAACAATAATGAAACATTTATTTTACACATCCCACAAATAATTTATGAAACTGCTTGCCACCTGCACATTATTCAAATGGATTAGACAAATGTACTATGCACGGCCCCTGTTATGACGGCTGCACTGAACTTTCACAGGCCACAATAGGTGAACCTCTTGCTTGTATGTTTCCCAGAGAGCATCTCACTGGACACTGAGGTGGGAAACAGGCCATTAGAGGGAATGGACTGCAGTTCCCACATCCTTATGCACTGAAATATACAGACCTCAAGAATCATTCCCTGGTGAATAAATGAGGAAAACCACCGTTACCTGGACAGATTGGTGAGGATGACATACAAGAGGCAGAGGTGCCGCATTTATACCAGGTTAGCTATTTCTTCCAGCTTCCCCTCCTTACCCAGCCACGGGGATGTTTGTGCAATCCACCCGCACATCCTGTCGTTCACTGCCACACTCACGCGCGGCCACCCACCTACCTAGCTCGGACATGCACCAAACGAAAAAGAGGACCGCGCAGATGAAGCCCAGCTGTTGCAGCAGCATCTCCCGCCGCTTGCGAACTTTCCTCAGTTTGAAGAGCGGCGGCTTCGAAGGGACGCTCGGCGAGACCTCCAGCCCCATCGCGAGCCGGGGCGGCTGGAGACGCTCACGAGGGCCTGCGGGCGAGGAGGAGGAGGAGGAGGAGGAGGAGGCGGGGAGGCAACTCCTCCGCGTCTTCGCCAGAGGGGCTCACTTGGGGGGGGTCCTCGTGGAGGGTTTCATAATCACGATCAAGGGTGAGACGCGCATCCGAGAAAGGAAGGGAATCGGCTGGGGGCGAGGGGACCAGGAGCCCCGACCAAGGCTTCCTCGCAGCGGGGCAAGTTTGCGCCCGCGATCTCCGCTCGGGCCGAGAACCTCAGCGTCGCCGCGACCGGGCAGCGCGAGTTAACAGCCGCGCCCCTGCAGGCGGAGGGCAAAGCCAAGCCGACAATCCCCGCCGGCGGCAGAGAAGTAGCTGAGGAGGCGGCATCCGAGGGCGCCGGGCTCCGGCCGGAGAAAAGACGCCTTGCTGATTCCGAGCGCGCCTTGGTGACGGCGACACAGAAAGCGAGCAAACCAGGAGATTAAGGGGGCGGCGGGGGGAGCCCAGCCCCGCACAGCATCCCACTGGAAAGTTTCAGATCCTCTTCTCTTTCCTCCCTCCGCCGTTGTCAAAGGCTTGCGGAGCGGCAGCGAAGGCGGCGGAACCCGCGATCCTTCTCTGCCTCGTCGCTGGAAGCGGCGGCGCCAGCAGCAGCATCTCCCCTGCGGCGGCTCTGCCCGCTTCCCCCGTCCGACGCCTAAGTGCCACCTTCCCCCTCCCCCCCCCTCCTGTCGGCGCTTCCGGGGTGGGAGCGGGGCGCATCT